AAATTCATTTCTTTCTAGTAAAGTCAAAATTAATCCAGTGTCCTTTTGGCCAGCCTCTCGGGGGGCTCTTAACCCCATCACAAGGGGCAAATCTTCTAGATTTTATACTCTGTGTAGAGAGAAGCCCAGGGCTATCCTCTCCCAGGCAGGGAAAGTTCTGGACAGAGATTCTTTTCCTTTCTCATGGTAACAGGCCCAAATGGCCCTGAGAATTTTATCCTACTTAATTCCTCTCCAAAAAATTAAACCAGGCTGGGTGCAGTGGATCATGCCTGTAATCCCAGCACTTTGGGAGGCCAAGGCAGGAGGATCGCTTATAGGCCAGGAGTTCAAGACCAACCTGGGCAACATGATGAAACCCCGTCTTTGAAAAAAAGTACAAAAAATTAGCTGGGTATGGTGGCACACACCTGTAATCTCAGCTACTCGGGAGCCTGAGGTGGGAGGATTCCTTGAGCCCGGAAGGTTGAGGCTGCAGAGAGCCGTGATCGTGCCCCTGCACTCCAGCATGGATGACAGAGCAAGACCCTGTCTCTTAACAACAACAACAAACAAACAACAAACAAACACCAAACAAACAGAAAAACCACGAAGCTGTTTGACTCTGTCATATAAGGAATCCTTTGGATAAGAAGATGGCTGTGATAGTGGAGTTCATTTCTACCCTTTTTGCCCAAAAAAACAAGCAGATTTTCTCTATTCTCTTCATTTCTATCATGAAGTCTCTTCAATTCATTGGAAAGGCAAGCCAGGAGTCCCTATGGCTTCCAACCTGTGCCCCTGTGACCCTGCACACTTCTGGAATACAGCGGTGCCTTCCGCAGATGCAAACGTGAGCCTCCATTTTACACTGCGGAGCCTGCAAGGAAGGATCAGCCGAAAGCCGAGGTCCTGTGACAGAAACTGTGCAATAGCAGCAAAAGAATACTTAAAGCGTGGGGCAACTGTGGTGCAAAACATGTAAGCTATCTAAACATGCCGCGGCAAGCCAGCGGCAGCCACCGTTCACCACGGGATGTGCGGCAGCACCAAGCCTCTCTCCAGAAGCATCGTGTTTTTCCTAGCAATGGGTCTTCCTTTTCAGATTTTGGGCTTGGCCTGTGGACACCATGCAGGCAGGACTGCGCCTGTTGTTTCTTTTTTCTTTCTTTCTTTTTTTTTTTTTTGAGACAGAGTCTTACTCTGTCGCCCAGGCTGGAGCGCAGTTCAGTTCACTATAACCTCTGCCTCCCAGGTTCAGGCGATTCTCATGCATCAGCCTTCTGAGTAGCTGAGATTACAGACATGCACCATCACGCCTGGCTAATTTTTGTATGTATGTATGTATGTATGTATGTATTTGAAACAGAGTTTCACTCTTGTCACCCAGGCTGGAGTGTAGTGGCTGGATCTTGGCTCACTGCAACCTCCGCCTCCTGGGTTCAAGCAATTCTCCTGCCTCAGCCTCACAAGTAGCTGAGATTACAGGTGCCCACCACCATACCCAGCTACTTTTTGTATTTTTAGTAGAGACAGGATTTCACCATGCTGGCTAGGCTGGTCTCAAACTCCTGACCTCAGGTGATCCGCCCCCCTTGGCCTCCCAAAGTGCTGGGATTGCAGTGGTGAGTCACCCGGCCCGGCCTGCCTGCCTCCTTCCTGAGGACCCTAGCACATGTGGGCCTGCGCACATCTTTGCTGAAGGAGTAATTCTCCGCGGGGAGGGCCAGATTCCATGTTTACTGCTCCGGGCGGCACCAGCATTCTGTAATTCCCACCACCCATGGGAGATGCCCTGGGAACTTCGGCCTCCCTCTGAATAGAGAATACTAACTACCAGTTGCCTCTATGACCTGTAACTAATCCTATCTCATCAGCGTTAAACCCACAGTTCATTTGTTTTTGTTTGTTTTGAAAAAGAAAGTTGAGTTTCCCGAGAAATGAACTCACTTTGATCTTGACGCATGAAGTCAAAGTTCAACATTTCTGTAGTGTCTTTCTGCTTAGAAGGCACTGATGGACTTCAAGTAGATGGAATGTCACAGGCATTTCCAAAGGGCTGGGTGTTTATGACCAGTCATGATGATTGCATGCTTGTTCAGGTACCGGTTGCTCCTGGCTATAGAGACAGAGTGTGTGGAAAGAGGAATGGAGATTTGATCAGGAGAAGTTTAAATAGAAATGCTCCTTTTTTACTTGGAGTCAGGGATTGGGGAAATGGAGTGCATTAACTTCAGGAGAGTGAAGAGAAAGTCAACTACACCCATTGGCTGGTCAACTGCACCCCTCATGTACAGAGACCTGGGGGGCGAGGCTCCTGCCTGCCAGCTGTCATCCCACTGCAGAGATGGGGTCCGTGGCACCACCCTCAGCCTGTCACCAGCACGACCTGGAACAACAGCACACATCCAAGATGCAAAGGAAGGCTTCCTTCGGGGGCTTTTTCTGGCCATGGAGAAACTCAGAGGCTGCCTGGAGAAGGTCACAGCTGTAACATGGACTGCGTTTGCAATCTTTCCACCCAGCAGGATAAAAATACCTTTTAAAAAAAGAAAGCTTAGAAGAGGGCATTCTCAGAAACCAACCTTCTTAACAACTCACACTTCTCTATTGCTGGGCCAGTTTGTTTTCAGCCATTGTTATGTGCAAGTCTTGATAGAAAAAGCCAGCCCGGGCTCTGCAGAATCAGAAAAAAAATGAGAAGAGAGTCTGGGGCTCCACAGGCAGGAGCTTGCAGGCAGAAAGGGCCCCAGGCACACGGCATCTGCTCCTAGCCGACCCGATTAGTCACCGAGAGGAGTTTTCCTCTACCTGGCAGAGGCAGAGGAGTGAGTTAAGAAAAGGAGACGTGTGTCTCCTTTGAGTGGCTGTAACTTTCTGTTTGCATCCCAGATTCTGTGATGAGGGGTGGGGGCTCAGTAGGAGAACCCCAGAAAGCACCACTGGATAGAGAGAGACAGCCTCTGGGGAGAGGCTGCCCGGTCATGAGTTGTCTGAGGGATGCTCTGGGTTTTCTTGCACTGACGCCACTTCAGCCTATTGATATAAAATTTTTTAATTAAAAAAATTAAAAAGAACTAGGGGATATTTCAGGAAACAAGACCTCTGTAATGGCTCAGAACACACAGAAACAGCGTATTACTCTTCCAGGAGCTGCTCGTCATAGTCGCCAGGAATTCAGGACTGGATGCCTTCGGGGCTGAAGCCCTGAGGACTCCCGAGAACACACGTTGTCCCCCAAAGTCTACCTACCTGAACCCATTTTCTACCCTCTCTGCAGGATGCCTCAAGGGAGAAGGTAAACGAAGTCCAGAACAAATCATTTGGCCCCTGAGGCAGAAGCGTAACTGCTCACTGCTGTGGCTAAATGTTTATTTCCTCTCCCCAAAGTATTGCTTCTGAGATGGACCTAGTTTCCCTTCCGTAGACCCTCTGGGCCTGGGTAGAGAGGCCAGGGAAGGATTGGGTGATGCAACTGGAGCTTCTGTTCAAGTGAGAGGAAAGTGGCAGTACTGAAAATAGAAGAGGTTCTTGCAGAAAACTGTGGGGCCAGGCTGGGTGTGGTGGCTCACACCTGTAATCCCAGCTCTTTGGGAGGCCGAGGCAGGTGGATCATGTGAGGTCAGGAGTTCGAGACCGTCCTGACCAACATAGTGAAACCCCATCTCTACTAAAAATATAAAAATGAGCCAGGCATGGTGGAACGCACCTGTAGTCTCAGCTACTCGGAGCTGGGGCACGAGAATCGCTTGAACCCGGGAGGCAGAAGTTGCAGTGAGCCAAAATTGTGCCACTGAACACCAGCGTGGGCGACACAGCAAGACTCTGTCTCAAAAAAAAAAATTGTGGAAGGCCATCTGGAGGAAGAGCAAGGGGTGGGGCAGCTCTTCAGCTTGGTGCCCTCCGGCCGCACAAGGAAAAGCTCTTCCTCCCTGCCATTTGGCCTTCAAGTTCATCAGTTGTTAAATGTACAAAACATGTAATTGATATAGGCCGAAGGGAAGTACAGAGGCCTTCTTAAATAACACAACCATTGACCACCAAGTTCAGGTTTAATTTAGCTGAATATTTAAATACATTGACATCTCATCATGTAATAAAATAATAATATCCGTTGGCCTGGTAAAATGGTTACCTGTGGTGGGTGAGGGCATGTGTGGTTATTTTAAAAGCCTATCAAGCCTAGTTGAGGGCCCAAGGAAGGGGGAAGCAGGGGGAGGCCAAGGCCAGACAGTAGCATAGATGGTGAGCGGAATGAGGTTATGGAGATTGCTCTTGTCAGAAACTCATATCCTTCTGAGTGGTGTTTACATCTTTGAGCCTGGGGTGGGTGGCGGAGGGCCCAAACAGTGGGGTACAGCCCAAGATATCTACCCCCCCTTACACACACACACCCCCTGGCTACATGGAGCTGATTTATCCCTTGTTGCTGTAGATATTTTTGGCAACCATCAATCCCTTTAAAATTTTTATTTTCCACTTTGCAGAGAAAACGCAGCAAACGCACAACCCTAGTGACTGACATTCCCTGGTATTCTTGTCTAATCCTTGCTCATATTTATAACCATAGTCATCCATGTGAAGCTACTATTTTGTGTCCTGATTTTTCACTTACTATGTTTTTGTCTTCACGTGTGTAGATAGTTAAGTTGCAGTCACCGAAAACCCCAAGTAGGCAGGAGACACCATGTGCCGTTTCTATTAGCCAGTCCCTAGCCATCCTCCTAACTGTTGGATCTGGAGGGTTAGCCTCAGATCATTGCAGTTATAAATAGTCCATCCCTGGCTATCTTTTCTAGAAGTGTCCAGTGTCATCTCAGCTAGGCAGAAACATATTTCAACTCCCAAACTGTTTCAAGAGTGTGAAAAGCTCAGGCCCAGAAGAAACAGAGTGAGCAGTTGAACGGTCTTACAACTGCTGCTTACAACTTTATAACAGGCCATAGGTTTAAAGTCCAAAAGGGCTCAAATTTCTACCCCATGTTTGACGACTCAGACCTCAATTCAGAGCTGAGCTGACTTCCCTGCGCCCAGGCCACGGGGGTGAAGTGAAGGCACAGCAGCCCCAGCTGGGCCCTCCCGATGGAGGCGCAGGGGGACGGCGACACCAGCCACTCCAGCGTCGGTAACCTGCACGCTCTTCTCCCTGGGTCTCCTGGAGGCAAGGCGACCTTGCTTGCCCGCTATTGCAGAATAACAAGGGGCTTAGCCACAGGAGTTGCTGGCAAGTGGCAAGAAGAGTAAATGGTGAGCAGCAGTGCCGTTTAAGGACCAGTCGGGCTTGCAAATGCATAATGGGAACGCAGAAAGGCCATGTGCAGATAGACTGGACACAGCTGGAGGCAGCTCAAAGCTGCCCCAACCTTCCTAGGGGTTAAAAGATGAGTGACAGAGTCCATAGCTAAGGAGCTGGGGTGCCTCACTAAGGGAGGCCTTTTCACCTCTGTCCTTTGCTTTTATCCTTTTAAAATCGTGTCTGTAGTTGATACAAAATGTAACTTTGGGTGTGCAGCTTAAATGCTGGCGAGGACTGTCCTGCCTACTGAAAGGCAGAAACGCCTTTGCTTGTCATTGTTTCCCCAACATGGCATCCAAGACAAAGGCGCTGCTCTGTGACACTTCAGAGCCTCCCTCACGTTCTTCTGAGCTGCTGGCAAACCATAAGGTGAGATTCCAGTAGCTCAAAGGGAAGCGAGTGCTTTACTCTCCAGTCCAACCTGTGCAAAACTTGGTGATTTGCTATCTATTTTTGTTGGTTTTGTTGTTTCCTTTTGAAATTACTTGATTGTAATTTGATGCCCTGTATAGGTTGAGAAATTTAGTTGATTTTATGGACTGCCATGTAGCAAATAGGATGTCTCACATTTAACAGATGCATTTGTAATCGTGTTAGCTAACGTAGTTTAAGATGTATGATGAGTTAATACCAAAGACAAGTAAAATGTCTAACTTTATTCTCCTTCCTCTGTGTTTCTTTCCAACAGAGTCAATCCTGACGTGTCAATCCCGACGATAGAAAGCTCGGAGGTGATCCACAAATCCAAGCACCCAGAGTTCGGTTGGGATCCTTGGCAGATGGACATCAGTGCCATTTACTAACCAGCAGGATGGAGACCACACCCTTAAATTCTCAGAAGCAGCTCTCAGCGTGTAAGGATGGAGAAGACTGTCAGGAAAATGGAGTTCTACAGAAGGTTGTTCCCACCCCAGGGGACAAAGTGGAGTCCGGGCAAATATCCAATGGATACTCAGCAGTTCCAAGTCCTGGTGCGGGAGACGATACACGGCACTCTATCCCGGCGGCCACCACCACCCTAGTGGCTGAGCTTCATCAAGGGGAACGGGAGACCTGGGGCAAGAAGGTGGATTTCCTCCTCTCAGTCATTGGCTATGCTGTGGACCTGGGCAATGTCTGGCGCTTCCCCTACATATGTTACCAGAATGGAGGAGGTCAGTATCACAGGCTGCGAGTAGAGGCTGTGACCTGGGGTGGGCTGTGAGCCGGGGTGGGCTGAGACCCGGGTGGGCTGTGACCCGGGTGGGCTGAGACCCGGGTGGGCTGTGACCCGGGTGGGCTGCGACCTGGGTTGGGCTGTAGGTCCTCTTGAGAGGCCAGAACACAGATCACATCTTTTCAGTCTTCACTGGTGTAAGTCTGGGAACATGATGGCTTAGACTTTCGAGCTGGTCGAAAAGTCAAATCTCACCAGGCATGGTGTCTCATGCCTGTAATTCCAGAACTTTGGGAGGCTCAGGCAGGTGGATCACCTGAGGTCAGGAGTTCAAGACCAGCCTTGCCAACATGGCAAAACCCCATCTTCACTAAAAGTATAAAAATTAGCTGGGTATGGTGGTGGGCCCCTGTAGTCCCAGCTACTTGGGAGGCTGAGGCAGGAGAATCACATGAACCTGGGAGGTGGAGGTTGCAGTGAGCCAAGATGATGCCACTGCACTCCAGCCTGGGTGACAGAGCTAGACTCTATCTCAAAAAAAAAAAAAAAAGAAAAAGAAAAGAAAAGAAAAGTCAAATCTCCAGCAAGCCAAAAGCTGAAGGGTGTGTGTCTGAGGCTCTCCGGGTTGAAGCTGGGTGAAGCCCTCGCAAGCCTGACCTCACAGATCTCCAGCATCATTAGCACTCCATTTACTGAAGGGCCGCCTTCTCATCCTGCATTCTCCAGGCTCTGTCCTCCCTCAGCTAGCAGTGAGGGAATGGCCATCAGCCCTGTGCTGAGTCCCTTCACTCCTGCTGGCAAGTTCTGCTGGGAAGAGTCCAGAAGGGTAGGCCTGCGTAAGGGAAAATTTGGAGGTTGCTTCAGCGTCCCAGATGCTTCTGATCCTTTGGACCCGTGTGAGGTCAGAGAAGGGCATCAACGTAGGTCCAGAGTCTTAATTACCAGTCTGGGCAGAATTTAAGCTGGATTAGATTCACAGCATGACATTAATGCCAACCTCAAAATACGAATGGCTGGCCCTCCTATCTCCTCCTGGGATGTTAGATTTTTGAGGCCAGAGGCCCTATCTTGCTCCTTGTACCCCTAAAGCCTATCAAGTAGGTAACTTATAGATTATCAAAAATAGTAGCTGACTGTAGGCCTGAAGATGGGAACCTGGGGGAGAGTGGAGCAGTGGGGGAAAGTGAGTGGGTTTGGAGCCTCTGGACTTGTTACCAGCACAGGAAAATAACAAGAAGTGGGTGTCAAATGAATCAAGCTTGATTTTGATGGAAGCTCTGACAACAGATTTGGGAGGGCAGTTAAAAAGAGGTTTGGGGATCATCCATTTGTGTCACTCTCACTTCTCCCATGACCTAACACAGAATGGCCTGGATTTACTGTCTCTTTTAAGGATTTCTGTCCATGCAGCTACAAAGGTAGTTCCAGGGGGCCCCCGGGAAGTTCAGAGCTTCCTGCCTAGGAGGAGCAAAAGTCATAATCACCTTATCTCCTGCTCCAGAGGACTCACCTTTACCCTGAGCATTATGTAAGGGGCTGGGTCACTGGTGACGTTTCCCTTACACTCATTCCCCAGCGTAAAGCTGATCAAGCAGGCTCTTTGGAGGAAGGCCGTCACAAGAACACATGGTTTTATTCTCGAGCCAGCCTCACCCAGTGTGACTGTAAATTACGTGGACCTTTATGACTTGCATGGACCTCAGGTTTCTGGGTTCAGAGCATTTTACAGCAGGTAAAATTATCAGGGAAAAATCATAGCTGACCCCCACTTTAGGCTAAAAACTCAGGCTGCAGGTGAACATTCCCCAACTTGATATTTTTAAATTCAGCCTCAGCCACAAGATCCCGGAGACACCAGCATCTCCAGTTAGGTAGCAGCTCTGTGCTTTCCTGTTCTGTGAAAACTACCCTGTCCAGCCCCTCCTGCAAACGGTGCTTGTCAGGGAGCGTTCCGGCTCAGTGGAATTGTGGAAGTGTAGCCAAATATCAATAACCGTGTGTCTGGAGCCATAGACAATACTGATGAACAAAGATACTGATTTGGTGACTCACAGGTGGTTGCAGCTGTTGCTACAGATTGTCACAGGTGATCTGTTCCGAGAATCCCAGGTCCTGGTTGCATCAGAATCACCTTAGGGAGCTTGAACACAATTTTTGTGTTGTACCCATGCTTGGAGATTCTGCTTCAGGAGGTCTGGGGTAGACCCAGGAATCTAGGTGACTATGATGCGTGGCTACATTTGGGAAACTCAGCTCTCCTCAACTGTGTTCTTTTATAGGGAGGAAACTGGGGCTCAGAGAGAGGAAGTGGCCCAGGGTTCTCCAGGCAGTCAGAAGGGGACGTGGTCCTGCCCGTTCTGTTGACTCCCAAACCCGGCTTTCTTCCCAATTGGTCTCTTGGCCTCCTCTGAAACCTCATTTTAGTCATGGCGCTCCCCCTACGACTGCTTCTGGCAAAGCAGTAAGACCAGAGGAGCATACCGTGAGGCCACTCAGCCCAGGGTGGCTCCGTGACACTCACATCATCTGGCGACTGTGATTCTCGGAGTCACAGATTGGTTGGGCTATCCTGGGACAGAGGTGGGCAGGAAGTGAAGTTGTCTTTCATCTGCCTCAGGGGCATTCCTCATCCCCTACACCATCATGGCCATTTTTGGGGGAATCCCGCTCTTTTACATGGAGCTCGCGCTGGGACAGTACCACCGAAATGGATGCATTTCAATATGGAGGAAAATCTGCCCGATTTTCAAAGGTAACTGAAGGGCTTGGTGGGGTGGGTTAGTGGAGCCTCTCAGGAAGGGATTTCCATCAGTGGGTGGGAGCTGGGGACCTTCTCCTGGAATCAGTCAGGCCTTAGGAGATGGCTTGAGTAATTAAGGCTTTGACTGTGTAAGTGGTGTGAAATGGTTAAAGAGAAACAGAATAAATGGCAATGAGAAGTAAACGAATGTAAACATTTTAAAGCATTAGCAAGACATGTACACATTTTCCAAAACATGTTACCTTGCAAATACATACGAGTGACTCACGGCAGGGCCACTTTTCCCGTGGTGGCCTGGAGTCCTTGAAATGGAACGGAGGGCGGCACCCACCTGTACCCCTCTGCTGGGCTGCGGGGCTTTCCGATGCCGCGTTTCAGCCTTTTGTCATTGGGCCACCCTTAAACTCGGCCTCTGTCTCCCCGTCTCACCCACTGCCCAGGGATTGGTTATGCCATCTGCATCATTGCCTTTTACATTGCCTCCTACTACAACACCATCATGGCCTGGGCGCTATACTACCTCATCTCCTCCTTCACGGACCAGCTGCCCTGGACCAGCTGCAAGAACTCCTGGAACACTGGCAACTGCACCAATTACTTCTCTGAGGACAACATCACCTGGACCCTCCATTCCACCTCCCCAGCTGAAGAATTTTACACGTAAGTGCATGTAAGTGACGGGTGGGCCTGATGGGGCAGGCCACACCCCTGGGATTTGTCTTCTTAGGAAGGCCAGGGCCAAGGGCTCCCCACCTCTCTCCTGGCAGATTTCTGAGAGATGAAGCTATCAGGGGTGGGAGTAGCAGAATTCTGAGTTGGGAAACTCTACCTCAAGTGCTCCACGGCCTGGCGCTGCTGTGCCTCCCTGCACTTTCTCATGTGCCAAGCCAGGTTGCTCCAACGCGCCCAAGCCCGTCCCTCCCTTCACATTCCAAAATTACTCCCCTTCTTCTGGGTCCTCCTCTCAGCCGAATGTCATGGAGGCAAAGCATCCTAGTACTTTGAAAGTTCAAAACTATTCAAATGGTTTAATGTGTTAACTTCATAAGTGGCATCTACCCTTTGGAAGAAGCAGCTTGGGGAAGGTAGTATTCTTTAATGCTGGAATTTCAGGCAATGGCAGCCCAAAGAGAGAGCTACTTTGGGGTAGGGAAGAGAGCCGACTCCCCACACTTACACATCCCTCATGTTCCCAAAAGCCAGTCACATTGGCAAAGGAGTTCAGGTCCCAGCCAGCAAAGGAGAATCCAGGAAGTCTGCCTTTAGGTTGAACACTCTTCCCGGGGTGTTAGCCAAATGGGCTTTGTGGTCCTTCAGGACGGCAGGGCCAATCCCAGCTCTTCCTGGGCCTCAGTGACCACTTGGTCCTAGCAGCACAGTGTCCATTTGTCCGGGGCACCCTCAAAGGAGCAGCACAGATGTGTGCCCAGGTCACTCTCCAGAGCCTCTCAGGGGCCTTTCTTTCTCCTTCGCCCCAGGCGCCACGTCCTGCAGATCCACCGGTCTAAGGGGCTCCAGGACCTGGGGGGCATCAGCTGGCAGCTGGCCCTCTGCATCATGCTGATCTTCACTGTTATCTACTTCAGCATCTGGAAAGGCGTCAAGACCTCTGGCAAGGTGAGGAGGGCTCTGACTGCTGAGCCGGGCCTGCCCAGGGGCCCACAGGCTCTCAAACTCAAAACCCAGTAGCCAGGACAGACAGCACTGTTTCCTTCCACACCAAACACATTCTGTGATGCACCCTCTCTCTCTTCACCACATTTGTTAGAAAATTCTAGAAGTGGGTTGGGCATGGTGGCTCACGCCTCTAATCCCAGCACTTTGAGAAGCTGAGATGGGTGGATCATTTGAGGCCAGGAGTTCAAGACCAGCCGGGCCAACATGTCGAAACCTCATCACCAAAGAAAAAAAAAAATATCTAGGCGTGGTGGCAGGCGCCTGTAATCCCAGCTACTCGGGAGGCTGAGGCAAGAGAATCACTTGAACCTGGGAGGTGGAGGTTTCTGTGAGCCAAGATCATGCCATTACACTCCTGGGCAACAGAGCGAGATTCTGTCTCACAAAAAAAAAAAAAAAGGAAAAGAAAAAACAATATTTTCTAGAAATGGGCCAATGCCAAGAACCATTACATGATTTTTTTTTTTTTTCAAAATTCCTTTAACCCACCGGTAGTACCACAATTAATAATTGTGGCAATAATTTACTGGAAACCCATCGTGGACCATGTTCAGTGCTTTTTATACACTGGCCAGTGCTATTGTTTCCTGCTACATACTCCCTCAACCTTACAGATGCGTAGTGGGCTCAGAGGTAGCTCTACTGGCCAACCTGAATCTGATCCTGTCTGTGTGATTCCAAGGGCTGTGATCTTTCTGCCACACCACCTTGCCCTCCTTTCCCAAGGTCTTCAAGAATAAAAGACACGGCTGGGAGTGGTGGCTCACGCCTGTAATCCCAGCACTTTGGGAGGCCGAGACGGGCGGATCACGAGGTCAGGAGATGGAGACCATCCTGGCTAACACGGTGAAACCCCGTCTCTACTAAAAAATACAAAAAAAAAAAAAAAAACAAACTAGCTGGGCGAGGTGGCGGACGCCTGTAGTCCCAGCTACTCGGGAGGCTGAGGCAGGAAAATGGCGTAAACCCGGGAGGCGGAGCTTGTAGTGAGCCAAGATCTGGCCACTGCACTCCAGCCTGGGCGACAGAGCGAGACTCCGTCTCAAAAATAAAAAATAAAAAAAGAATAAGAGACACTGACGTCCATCCACCCACCTCCCTCCCCTCCCCTCCCCTGCTCCCCTGCTCCCCTCCGCTGTTTCCCTCCCCTCCCCTCCCTGGAACAGCATGGTGATAACCCATGCTTTCGCCCTTCTTCCTTACAGGTGGTGTGGGTGACAGCCACCTTCCCTTATATCATCCTTTCTGTCCTGCTGGTGAGGGGCGCCACCCTCCCTGGAGCCTGGAGGGGTGTTCTCTTCTACTTGAAACCCAACTGGCAGAAACTCCTAGAGACAGGGGTAAGATAATGAGGGAAATATCTGTACCTGTCTCATTTTACTAAACGAAGCTGGTCCTCCTCCACATAGGACAGTAGGGACAACTGAAATGTGGCTTTAGTGTGCAAGTCTGCCATGATACTTTAACCAAGAAATACAAGCAGTAAAGTAGAGTTGAGGCCACTGGATGGGTTTATGCCTAGATGATAGGAAGAGAAATCACATTTGTTGGCACTTGATTTATGGCTATGCCTGGAATGAGCCTTAAAAGCTGGTTTTGTGCCTCTGCACTTAGCCACATGGAGGCAGGAGAGACGACCCTGTTGGGGCCAGGGTCAGCCTGTGTCTCCCCCTCACCCCAGGCCCTTACCCCTGCTGTGTTCCAGGTGTGGATAGATGCAGCTGCTCAGATCTTCTTCTCTCTTGGTCCGGGCTTTGGGGTCCTGCTGGCTTTTGCTAGCTACAACAAGTTCAACAACAACTGCTACCAGTGAGTATCTGGGGTCCCCAAAGAAAGCTTGAAAGTGGCGTGAGTGAAAGTCAGCCAGTGTGGAGGAAGGTGATTGGACCGACGGCCTCGAATCTGGCCAGGTTTAGGCCTTGATGCCACTGCCCCTCAAGGGTACTGCAGGCCCCTGACCAGCTCACCCATGGCCAGAGCACTCATTGAGGCCAGGGCTTCACCCGGACCGCTCAGAGGCTGAGAGGGGCCCCAGGCCCTTCGGTTTTGTCAGTGCTCCTCTATATAAAAATAATAAGAGGCTGGGCATGGTGGCTCACACCTGTAATCCCAGCACTTTGGGAGGCCAAGGCAGGCGGATCACCTGAGGTCGGGAGTTCCAGGCTAACCTTGCCAACATGGCGAAACCCTGTCTGTACTAAAAATACAAAGATTAGCCAGGTGTGGTGGTGCACACCTGTAATCCCAGCCACTTGGGAGGCTAAGGCACAAGAGGTTGCAGTGAGCCAAGAGTGTGCCATTGCACTCCAACCTGAGTGACAGAGCAACATTCCAGAAAGAAAGAGAGAGAGAGAGAAAGAAAGATTGCAAAGTAAGTTTACAAAAAGCTGCAACATCCAATTACATAGTTAGGTTTAACTAGTCAATGTGTTTAACAACAAAAATTATAACGTGATTATTTGTATTACGTATAAACAAAAAGTGTGATGATCACGTTATTTTGACTAACACAAAATGCCATAATTTTTCTTTTCTTTTCTTTTTTTTGAGACAGAGTTTCTTGTTGCCCAGGCTGGAGTGCAATGGTGTGATCTCGGCTCACCGCAACCTCTGCCTCCCGGGTTCAAGTGATTCTCCTGCTTCAGCCTCCCAAGTAGCTGGGATTACAGGCATGCACCACCATGCCGGCTAATTTAGTATTTCTTTTTTTTTTAATTCTTTTTTTTGAGACGGAGTCTCGCTCTGTCACCCAGGCTGGAGTGCAGTGGCCGGATCTCGGCTCACAGCAAGCTCCGCCTCCCGGGTTCATGCCATTCTTCTGCCTTAGCCTCCCGAGTAGCTGGGACTACAGGCGCCCGCCACCTCGCCCGGCTAGTTTTTTGTATTTTTTAGTAGAGACGGGGTTTCACCGTGTTAGCCAGGATGGTCTCGATCTCCTGACCTCGTGATCCGCCCGTCTCGGCCTCCCAAAGTGCTGCAATTACAGGCTTGAGCCACCACGCCCGGCCTAATTTTGTATTTTTAGTAAAGACAGGGTTTCTCCATGTTGGTCAGGCTGATCTCGAACTCCCAACCTCAGGTGATCCACCCACCTCGGCCTCCCAAAGTGCTGGGATTACAGGCGTGAGCCACTGCACCCAGCCAAAATGCCATAATTTTTGCAACAAAATCCTATTTCAGAAATTTTAACAATATAGGAAGTGTTACACCAATTATGGTTTTAAATATCACCCACTAGGCCAGGTGCGGTGGCTCACACCTGTAATCTTAGCTCTTTGGGAGGCTGAGGCAGGAGGATCATTTGAGCCTAAAAGTTTGAGTCCAGCCTGGGTAACATGGCGAGACCCCATCTCTACAAAAAATTTAAAAATTAGCTGAGTGTGGTAGTGCATGCCTATGGTCCCAGCTATTCAGGAGGCTGAAGCAGGAGGATTGCTTGAGCCCAGGAGGTTAAGGCTGCAGTGAGCTGTGTTCATGCCACTGCACTATAGCCTGTGCAACAGAGGGAGACCCTGTCTCAAAAATAAATACATAAATATCACCCATCATCTTTAGACTTAATTTTGATTGATCACAGATGGCAGCATCCAGCAATCTCCTTGTGCTATGCATAAGATAATTGTAGAACTGGTTTTTTTTTAAAGGTGGGAGGGAAATTCACATGTACCCTAAGCAATGTGGCCTTGCACTGGGACACCACCCTGCAGTTGTATGATGAGGCTGTCATTTAAAAGTGTGAGGGTGGGAGTTTGAGACCAGCCTGGCCAACATGGGAAGACCCTGTCTCTACTAAAAATGCAAAAATTAGCCAGGTGGCCGGGCGCGGTGGCTCAAGCCTGTAATCCCAGCACTTTGGGAGGCCGAGACGGGCGGATCACGAGGTCAGGAGATTGAGACCATCCTGGCTAACACGGTGAAACCCCGTCTCTACTAAAAAATACAAAAAACTAGCCGGGCGAGGTGGCGGGCGCCTGTAGTCCCAGCTACTCGGGAGGCTGAGGCAGGAGAATGGCGGGAACCCAGGAGGTGGAGCTTGCAGTGAGCTGAGATCCGGCCACTGCACTCCAGCCTGGGCGACAGAGCGAGACTCCGTCTCAAAAAAAAAAAAAAAAAATTAGCCAGGCATGGTGGCAGGCGTCTGTAATCCCAGCTACTTGGGAGGCTGAAGCAGGAGAATCACTTGAACCCGGGAGGCGGAGGTAGCCGAGATCGTGCTACCCGCACTCCAGCCTGGGCAATAGAGCAAGGCTTCGTCTCAAAAAAAAAAAAAAGAGAAGAAAAAAGGTATGAGAGTATCTCTCTGGCTGGAAGTCTGTGACTTAGTTTGAAGATAATGTCAAAGTCTAACTTTGAGGATCTCACATATGTGAGGCTCAGGCCCTGTCCTGGCCCCCACTGCAACCCGGTCCCTGCTCCAGAACAAGGCTGGTTTGAAATGGAGAGGTCTGCGCTGGCAGGATCACCTTTTAAAGCACCCCCCACTGCTCTTCTCCCTGCACCGTGTGTGGTGGTCATGGCAGTCGGAGCTGCAGGCTTCGGCAGCTGGGCTCTGGGAGGAGGGGAAGGGGCTCCGGGACAGGCTTGAGGTTCCTTGAGTTCAGCCTGCTTGTCCTTGCTGTGGCCGGCCTGTCTAAGGCAGGGCAGGCACATAGACAGTTGCTCCTTAGAGCCCTGATCTTGGAACTGTCTCAGGCGGCCCCTTGGGTTTTCTCCTCCAGAGATGCCCTGGTGACCAGCGTGGTGAACTGCATGACGAGCTTCGTTTCGGGATTTGTCATCTTCACGGTGCTCGGTTACATGGCTGAGATGAGGAATGAAGATGTGTCTGAGGTGGCCAAAGATGCAGGTAGGACCTCAGGTTTTGTGCAGGTCCCTTGCTCCTACTGAGTTGCTTTGCTTTGAACCTTTTAAAAGTTATTTTGATTTATTTCTAAATGTTCCCGAAATTTTCCAAAGAAGGCTGGGCATGGTGGCGTTCAAGACCAGCCTGGGCAACATAGTGAGACCCTGCCTCTGTAAAAAATAAATGAGCTGGGCATGGTAGTGCACACCTGTAGTCCCAGCTACTCAGGAGGCTGAGGTGGGAGGATTGCTTGAGCCTGGGAGGTCAAGGCCACAGTGAGCCATGATCACACCACTGTACTTCAGCCTGGGTGGCAGAATAAGACCCTGTCTCCAAAATAAAAACATTTTTTATTCAAAGATTTGAGAGAAGGTTGATGCCTTGGAGATCTTTCCATGTGTTCAGGCCATGCAGGGACAGGGTAATTCCCTTGGCACCCAGTTCTGGGGCCTTCAAAATCTGTGGGCTTGAAATGTTGACTCTGATGATGGCTTTAAAACCCGTGTTTGCTTCCTGTGATGGTCTTGCGATGGCTCAAAGTCTAGTAAGCAAATAATCATTTATCCGTAGAGCTGCGCCTTGCAGAAAAAGAAAATCTAGCCAATATGACCACTCTATTTTACCGTGAAGTTTTCGTGGAAAAAGAAAAAAGCGACAGAGGTAGAAAAAACAGATGACGGCATCTAGTGGGCGAGGTCCCAGGGCCTTCTTGCTAACCAGCTTGTATCTTTGGCCTGATTCGGTGCTTTGACCAACCCCATGCCCCAAACGAGGGCACCCCTAGCTAGCCCATGAGGGGCTGAAGACATGTCCCTCACACTATCAAAAGGGACTTCACAATAGAAAGAGGTCTTTATTCCAAGGCCTCTGTGACTCTACGGAAATCAATGTAACATTTCCTACTGTTCTGGAGCTGAAGACATCAGAGGGGGTAACTGCCATGGACTTCAGAAATATCAATCCGGGTCCTGAAAAATCCCACAGAATTGTTACACGGTGGAAACTCTTATTCTTGTGTGCAGCTTTGCCAGTCTCTGGGTCTTGGGTCTGTTACTCACCCCCAGGGTTCATGGAGGGCACACAGTTTTCAAGATGGAGGCCCCACCCTTCCTGCCTCCCAGGAATTGGGGTGGCCAGGTCAGACGGAGTAGAGAGTGAGGAAGCACTTGGTGTGTGTCAAAACCTGATTCGCGCATAAGGTCTTGTGATGAGAATTGTAACTTGTTGTGGCTGAGTTTTCCTCTGTGACATCTTTGTAGGATAGGTCTTGTCAACCACCTCCTCCTCTCTCCCCTCTGTCTCAGGTCCCAGCCTCCTCTTCATCACGTATGCAGAAGCGATAGCCAACATGCCAGCGTCCACTTTCTTTGCCATCATCTTCTTTCTGATGTTAATCACGCTGGGCTTGGACAGCACGGTGAGGACACGGGAAGGGGAAGTGGGCCGTGGGAGGATGAAGAGGAAAGGAGGAGGACGAAGCTGGACTCAATTCCCTCCCATCCCGAGGGCCATCCCAAGCAGTGGTGGCTGCTCCCTTCTGGTGCCCCACACCCCCCGCTGACCTCTCAGCATTTACCACCCTCTGGTGCATTCAAGTCATTCATGGGATACTGTGGGTCAAGCGCCTGGCACAGGCCCAAGGCTCACATACATGAGCACTGTTCCTTGGCCCAATTATGGCGCCTACAGGCCAGGGCGAGGTCTCTCCTGGGTGTCTGCTTTGCCAAGCGTTCAGTTCAGGGCCTGGAATTACTAGTGTGGAGTGAGTCTCAGCTTTGAGTTGGCCTTTCTGGTGCAGAGAAAGTCTCCCCGAGACCTCATATATCGAAGTTCTGTCCACGTGTTCTGTTTTGTTTCCTGGCTCTCCTTAGTGACGGGCTTTAAATGACAGTGTAAAACGGCGAAATACTCTTTGAGATGCTTTCATGGTCCATTGAGTCGGGGAACTGGTGATAATCAGCTTGACCAGTCACTCAGCAACGTTACCCCCTTACCCCTCCCTCCCATTCACTGTTCTGAAGGCTACAGCCTTGTCCCAAAGCCTCCACTGTGACTGCTTGCCTGTACCTCCCAGTTTGCAGGCTTGGAGGGGGTGATCACAGCTGTGCTGGATGAGTTCCCACACATCTGGGCCAAGCGCCGGGAGTGGTTCGTGCTCGCCGTGGTCATCACCTGCTTCTTTGGATCCCTGGTCACCCTGACTTTTGTGAGTACCACCCCCTCAGCTTTGAGTTGGCCTCCCCTAGGGCAACAGAACACTAAGGAAGCTGTTCCTCTCCTTCCATCTCACACGGTGCCCTGGCTTTCAGACCAAAAGAGGGGAGGTTGTTACTCCCATTAAAAAGTTTGTCATCGGCCGGGCGCGGTGGCTCACGCCTGTAATCCCAGCACTTTGGGAGGCCGAGGCGGGCGGATCACAAGGTCAGGAGATCGAGACCACAGTGAAACCCTGTCTCTACTAAAAATACAAAAAATTAGCCGGGCGCGGTGGCGGGCGCCTGTAGTCCCAGCTACTCAGGAGGCTGAGGCAGGAGAATGGCGGGAACCCAGGAGGCGGAGCTTGCAGCGAGCCGAGATCGCGCCACTGCACTCCAGCCTGGGCAACAACGTGAGACTCCGTCTCAAAAAAAAAAAAAAAAAAAAAAAAAAAAAAAGTTTTTCATCAAGGAGAAGAAAAGTTGTTTCTTGCACATCTGCTTGTAGACTCTGTGCATAGTATCCACCGACTCTCAGCATTTTACAGTAGATCCCACTGGATTTCAGGCTTCAAAAACTATCTGGAGAAAATTAGGATTTGCTTTTCCAGCCTATTTCCACTCTTTAGAGCTGCTTTCGTGGGGATACTGCCCTGACATTTTGCACGTCATGTGTGTCATGCCGCTTGGTCTCCTCCAGAATTTGCAATGGTAAAAAAGTCACACCCTCTCTAGAGATTTCTTTCTTTTTTTTTCTTTTGGTAACTGAAGTAAATACTCTGAAGCAGATTTTGCAGATGTGCATCTTTAAGCCCTGACCCTGATGGCCCTGGAGTGGGGGTCACACAGGGACTGAGTGGAACCCCAGTGAGTCATGATTTAGGACAGAAGGCAAAACTGTGACCAAGGCCCTTAATGTGTCTGATATCCTGGGCCCTTCTGGATTCAGTCTTTAGAGGCAGGGATTCTCCAGGGTCCGGTCCACAGCAGGTGTTCAATAAGTTGAAGAAAGTTTAAAATAGAACCCAAGGCCCTTTGGAGTTTTTCTCTTAAAGTTTAATGGGGAGAAGAAATAAGAAGAATGAACTACACAGGATGGGGGAAGAGGCGTCTGAGTGGGTAAAACCTGCCCACACTGCAGAGGCCTGTCCAAGAAACAGTTTCTTTTCTTTTTTTTTTTTTTTTTTTATGGAGTCTTGCTCTGTCCCCCAGGCTGGAGTTCAATGGTGCTATCTCAGCTCACTGCAACCTCCGCCTCTTGTGTTCAAGCAATTCTCCTGCCTCAGCCTCCTGAGTAGCTGGGATTACAGGCGCCCGCCACCATGCCTGGCTAATTTTTTGTATTTTTAGTAGAGATGGGGTTTCACCATGTTGGCCAGGCTGGTCTCGAACTCCTGACCTCAGGTGATCCGCCCACCTCTGCCTCCCAAAGTGCTGGGATTACAGACATGAGCCACCACACCCGGCCTAAGAGGCAGTTTCTGGGGTACTCACGTTCAGTCCCAGGTGGGATTTTTCCAGAATGATTCTAAGTGAGGAAGCCCCTGCAGGTCTCTATAGTTGGAAGGGGTGGCACCTCAGAGGGCCCTCACCCAGGCTCTGCTCTCCCCTCCAGGGAGGGGCCTACGTGGTGAAGCTGCTGGAGGAGTACGCCACGGGGCCTGCAGTGCTCACTGTCGCGCTGATCGAGGCAGTCGCTGTGTCTTGGTTCTATGGTAAGACGCTTCCTTCAGCCAGCTGGGTCCCTTCTACACCATCAGCTGGCACAATGGCAAAGGGCTGATTTCACCAAAAAAGGCAGTGAAGGGCAGTTTACAAGATGTGACCTCCCGATGATGGGTCTGTAAGAGTCTCGGCCAGGCGTGGTGGCTCACGCCTGTAATCCCAGCACTTTGGGAGGCTGAGGCAGGTGGATCACCTGAGATCAGGAGTTCGAGACCAGCCTGGCCAACATGGTGAAACTCCGTCTCTGCCAAAAATACAAAACAAACAAAAAATTTAGCCATTCATGATGGTGCATGCCTATAATCTCAGTTACTCGGGAGACTGAGGCAGGAGAATTGCTTGAACCTGGGAGGCAGAGGTTGCAATGAGCCAAGATCATGCCACTGCACTCCAGTCCAGACAACAGAGTGAGAGTCTGTCTCAAACAAAAAACCCAAAAACAGACAAAAGTAAACCACTTTTGCATGTTATTTGTTACACATATTATCCAGGAGGGGACACACATTTTGGGTTGCACACAGGCCCGTTTTTTTTTTTTTAAAAAAAGAAGAAATCTTCCTACCTCCTTGGCAATTCAGAGGACCAAGTTCAATTGTGTGAATCTCCATAGACCTGCCCTAGGAACTGCTGGGACCTTTCGGGGAAGCAACCACAGAGCACCTTCTCCTTCTCAATTTCTCACTCTTCTTTGGGAGTTTTCAGTTCTCACTTCCACACCAGTGACTTTTTGTAGAAGAACCTTGATCTTGATCTGGCATATGAATGGGCAATATTGTGGTTAAAAATTTCCCTTGAAAGTTTCCAGTGTCATGGTCAAAGCCAGTGTCTGTCAGATGGATTCACCATTCCTGGGCAAAATTCAACTTTTTTACAATAACAATGAAATCAGACACACACTCAGCTCTCAGGAAGGCAGTGCGGCACCAAGAAGGGGGTGTGCGTCTCTTCACAGATGCCCATCCATCCTCCCAGATGTCCATCCATCCTTCCAGATGCACATCCGTCCTCCCACCCTATGTAGAAAGAGTCTTGCTTGAAAATGCAGTTTTGTGACAAGTCCCCCAGTCCCACTTTCGGACCAGATTGTTGTTGCTGCACTCCTCCTAGAGAGAAATTCCAGAGCTACTCTGTGTGTCCAGGGTAGGAATTCCGGCTTGTCATTTCCCCTTGTCATTCCCAGTGCTGATTCTGTGACTCTGACTCTCCCAGAGAATCAGGGCACAGCAGCACAGCCCGTGCCCTTTCTCAGCCTCTGCCTCTCTTCCCCTTGGGCGGTTCCAGGCATCACTCAGTTCTGCAGGGACGTGAAGGAAATGCTGGGCTTCAGCCCGGGCTGGTTCTGGAGGATCTGCTGGGTGGCCATCAGCCCTCTGTTTCTCCTGGTGAGTTGCGATTTCCCTGTTCCTCCTTGCCCTGGCGAAAGACTTGCCCCCAGATACATAAAAAATGAATTGTAATGGCTGGGTGCGGTGGCTCATCCTGTAATCCCAACACTTTGGGAGTCTGAGGCAGGCGGCCAACATGGCAAAACCCTGTCTCTACTAAAAAAAACACAAAAATTAGCCTGGTATGGTGATGGGCACCTGTAATCCCAGCTACTCAGGAGGCTGAGGCAGGAGAATCACTTGAACCCAGGAGGCGGAGGTTGCAGTGAGCCAAGATCGCACCACTGCACTCCAGCCTGGGTGACAAAGCGACACTCTATCTTAGAAAATAAATAAATAAATAGTATTGAAGAATAACATATACATAAAAGTATTAATATACATATCATAAGTGTACATCTCAAAGAAATGTTATAAATTGAGCACACCTATGTAGCCAAAACCATACCAGGAGACAAAAACATGACCAGCACTTCAGAAGCCCCTCTTGTGCCCCCTCCCAGCCACTATGCCCACCATGGTTCCCCACCCTTCTGACTCCTAACACCATGGAGTAGTCTGGGCTTCAGTCACTCTGGCGCGTCACACCTCTGCTCAGTTTCAGAATTTATGGAGCGCTAAATGCCAGGCTAGACTTCAGGCTCAACTTACACCCACTGTTCTATAAATCCTCACGATAGTTCTATGAAGTGGTTATAGTTCTGGCACTCCCGTTTTACATTTAAGGAGATTGAGGCCGGGCGCGGTGGCTCACGCCTGTAATCCCAGCACTTTGGGAGGCTGAGGCGGGCGGATCACCTGAGGTCAGGAGTTCAAGACCAGCCTGGCCAACATGGTGAAACCCCGTCTCTACTAAAAATACAAAAATTAACTGGGCGTGGTACTGGGTGCTACTCAGGAGGCTGAGGCAGGAGAATTGTTTGAATCTGGGAGGCAGAGGTTGTAGTGAGCTGAGATCATGCCATTGCACTCCAGTCTGGGTGACAGAGCAAGACTGTTTCAAAAAAAAAGAAAGAAAAGAAAAAGAAAAAAGAAAGGAGATTGAGGCTTACCAATGTAAACTGAAGGGTCCAAAGTCACACAGCAAAAAGAACTGTTCAAGACCAGGGAAGGATCTGCTGTGCTCTTCATGGGGGCCCTGATGGGGTACTAGTACTTGTGTGTTTACAATTTTGTATGCATCTTCTTTAAGATGACACAAAGCTCTCTAAGCAAAAATGCACATCAAAACTAGAATCCATGTATTACCAAAGGACCTGGGTGAGACAGTTGAGTCCCAAGGGTTGTCCATGTGTTGAGATGTGTTCAATATTCACTTTGTCCTTGGTTCACGTGCCCCTGTCCAAGATGGATAGCCTGCTGGCCTCCCAAGAGTGTGCTGAGGTAGCCTGGGGTAAACTGATGTCATGCACACCAGCAGGCACTATTCTTCAGTTCTTTCATTTATCTGGAACTTTGTTTTTGTTTTGTCTTTTAGAGCCAGAAATGTTGTTAGATTGTTCCTTCAGTCCACCTCCAGCTTTTTAGGAGTATGTAGGCTATCCCATTTTGTTTTATGACATCTCTTTGACATCCAGCTGTTCTGTGTCCCCTTTCAAAACAGCTGGGTGCAGTGGTTCACACCTGTAATCCCAGCATTTGGGGAGGCCGAGGCAGGTGGATGCCTTGAGGTCAGGAGTTCAAGACCAGCCTGGGCAACATGGTGAAACCCTGTCTCTACTAAAAATACAAAAATTAGCAGGGCCTGAGCAAGAATCAGTCTAAAAAAAAAAAAAAAAAAACAGAAACAAAAACAGCCCTTTTTGTATTCTGTGTTTTGACTTTCTTGGGGTAGCCCTTTATTTTTTGTACTTCTTTTGTACCCACACACCTTGACATTAACTTATCTATGATGGACAACATGCTTGTTCTTTTGACACTGCATGTGTCTCTCTGTACCCCAGAATTCCTCCTTGACTTCCTTTCCCCGGACCCTCGAGGTTTCCAAAATCAAAGCCAATGTTTGCACCAAGCAGCACATGTTCCCGGGGTGCAGTGACTCTGGTGCAAGCTCTGGGCTCCTGAGATGTTGGCCTGGGAGCTCATTATGACCTTATCAGCTTCCTGATGCTTTTAGGCACATTTGAAATGCATGTGGTTTTAAATGCAGAAGTTTTAGTTGTTTTCAGTGAGGGTTGTTGGAAGTCGCCTAGCCCATCCTACCAGAAGCAGGAGCCCTGACATAAATGGGTTATTAATTTATATTATTACCAGTACTTCTCAATAATCTACTTAAACATTTTTATTTGTTTTTCAAAGGAAGAAGAGTCATTGGATTAATTCCTTGAGGGCAGAAAGATTGTTTGTTTGTTTGTGTGTTTACTTCCATATTTATTCCCCCCACAGTGAGGAAATGATGTCTAGGGAGACGTGAAGGCAAGTAAAACATTCACTGTGGGTATAAAATTTAAGAAGGCACCAAAGAGCTCAGTACTCATGATGAATATTATTTTAATGTAATATTTTTTTAAAATACAAATTAATTCTGAAAGATCTATGATTAACAAAATATCAACATTTTCAATAAACACAGGGGCCAGCCCTGTACTTGTACGTCTTACCTCACTCGCTTTACCCTAATCTGGCCCTGTTAGATCCTGTCTTTTAAAAAATTGTAATAAAATATTATTTATTTTGATTTGGGCTCCCGCTTAAATGTTGTGCCTGAGGTGAGTGCCTCCTTGTGCTCTGGGACTTGAGTCTGTTCATTTCTGTCAATTTCTGGCTGTCAGACTGGGTAAACTCTTGGTACACAGTCATTGCGTTTCTTTGCCCAGTAAAACCCACGTGCAGCTTTGGATGTGGGCGCATTGCTCACAATTCCCATGATGTTTGCCATACTCACCCTCTCTACAGCCAACTGCCGTAGTGCCTGATTGAGAGAGGCACATCTGTCTTCCACTTCTGCGTTTACTTAACAGGTCCCCTGCTTTGGGCTTCTTAAGGCTGCTTTAGGTAAACAACAAGTAGCTTACTAAAAATATTCTTTTTCACTGCAGCCAAGTTGAAGGAAAGAAAATATTGTGCATGAGTAGAAGCCAGGATGTGTGAGGGGGTTTCTGAAGTAGCACTTGCCCCAGCCAGAGGTCGAGCCCCCGACGACTGAGTGGGATTCCATACACCTGACATTAGGAGACAATTAGCCGGGATGGCTCCTAACTACATCCTCCTTCCCTGTTCCCAATCTTCCTCCGTAGCCGGCTCTGGGGATGAGGAGCGTGGGTTAGGAGGAAGGTTTGCAATTGACCAGGCTCCTGTTTTGAAGGCTTCCTCCTAGACTTAAGACAGCACCGCTCAGAGGATGGATGTGTGTTTAGCAATTTCCCATTTTATTACCTGCAGACAGAGAAAAAAAAGATATAAATAGATGTTTAACCACACAAATAATTTACATTACTGTCTTCTTTATGACTATGAAATAATAAAATACAATTAAATCAAGAGCAATAACGATTTCGGCACAGTGGTACTAAGCAAAATATGGAAACCAATGAAATAAGAAAACTCATAAACCGGGTGTTGGGAGCACACTGTGAAATTTTTCTTGGTCAAAATTCTCACAGTATGTTCAAGTGAAAGGTGTATTAAGCTGCTTTTTTTCCTTCCATAATTCCTTTCACGATGAGGACCGGTGGCAGGCAGTCATTCACTGCTGGGATGCCTGGTGGCAGAGCTATCTTTCTTGAAATCCCAGGCGATGAAGCTTAATGCAGAAGGCAGAGAGCTCAAGAAAATGAGAGAAGGAGCACACCCCCAGGAGCCTGAGTCCTCTCTGGGTCTTGAGAACCTTCTTATCTTTCCTGGACATCAGGCACCTTCCGTCTGACCAAAAACAACCACAGCCAGAAACGCAAGGCAATGAAAACAGAGCAGAGGAAGCCCGGGGCCTGGCGGGGGCTGCAGAGAGGTCACCCAGTTTATTCGTCTGCCTTCTGGCAAGACAAGGCCCAAATCACTCTCAAGGTTGCCAGTCTCTTCGCCTGGGCAGAGGCCCGTCCTGAAGTGGGAGCTGCAGGCTCCCTGACTGTAGGGGCAGCTGTAGGGCTACTGCAACATCCCCCTATAGGAAGTGAGGGCTGGGGAGGAAAATCAGGGAAAGCACCTGGCTGGTTTAGTCTTGCAGCTTGGGTACAGAGGCTGGTAATTCTGTGTGTCAGAGTTCAATCCAGGATATATCACATCTTGGGAATTTCCTAAAAGTATCTTACCTTTAGCGTTTGGTGTTTATGGTATCGGAAATGTCTCTATCTGCGTGGCTATTGTTAAGGTTTTTAATGTTTCTTGGAATTTCTGTTTTAGTTCATCATTTGCAGTTTTCTGATGAGCCCACCACAGCTACGACTTTTCCAATATAATTATCCCCACTGGAGTATCATCTTGGGTTACTGCATAGGAACCTCATCTTTCGTCTGCATCCCCACATACATAGCTTATCGGCTGATCAGCACTCCAGGGACATTTAAGGAGGTACGTGCTAGTTTGTATATGTGTGTGTGCAGACTGCTAATTATTTTGGGAGAAAAGGATTCTCTTGTTATCCTCTATTCAAAATGAGATTCACCAGGAGGCACGCAACCCTATATATGTATGTACCTGTGCCATAGCAAAGACCTCTCATGGCTGTCACTGTCATCTTAAGGCATCTCCCAAAGCCTCAAGTGCAAGGGTAAAAGAGTGAGCTGATCATTTGGGTGCACCAGAGCATTCAGCTTGGGCTATGCTCAAACTTGTCAGGCAATTCCCCTGCCTCCTGCTTGCCACTGGCCATGGACATCAGATCTGTGATGTCTGGAGCAATACATAGATCTTAAGTGGCGATTGTGGTGGGAAATGTCCATGGTGACTTTTCTAACAGCAATGTGACAAGTACTATTTTGAAAATCATCACAAAATAAGGATGTTGCAACAATATCATAGTTTTAGCTCAAAATTGTTAGCTATCTAACAATAGCATAATTTTAGCTCAAACCATTGGAGTAAAAATGTTTTGCCAGAATAGCAAGATTCATTTCAGCAATGAATGCGCTGTAGAAACGTTAATAACAGTACCTTACAATTTGTATGAGTGCCATTTTCAAAGCATCTGCATGTCAAGTATCCTATTCTGTTATCAAAGTACCTTGGGAGGTAAACAAGCAGGCATTATTACCAGACAAGGACACGGAGGTGGGGAATAATCCTCTCGAAGTTTCCTTATTTCCAGCCGGGCACGGTGGCTCACACCTGTAATTCCAGCATTTTAGGAGGCCAAGACGGGAAGATCATTTGAGGTCAGGAGTTCAAGACCAGCCTGGCCAACATGGTGAAACCCTGTCTTTACTAAAATTCCAAAAATTAGCTGGGCATGGTGGCACTGACCTGTAGTCCCAGCTACTCAGCATAATCTATAATAGCCTGAGACCAGGGGTGGGCTAATATGAGATCTTACAGCAAAATTTAGACATGAGACCATCACAGTAGTCATCCTAAGACATTTCATAAGAAATGAGAAGCAAGAGAACACAGGCAATTAAACATCAGCTCTTTCTTTTCTTTCAGACAAGGTCTCACTCTGTACCCCAGGCTGGAATGCAGTGGTGTAATCATGGCTTACTGTAGCCTCAAACTCCTGGGTGCAGGGGATCCTTTCACCTCAGCCTCCTGAGTAACTGGGACTATAGGCGCCTGGCCAATTCTTAAAATTTTTAATGGAAACAAGGTCTCACTATGTTGCCCAGGCTGGTCTCAAACTCCTGAGCTTAATTCTCCTGCCTCAGCTTCCCAAAGTGCTGGGATTGCCGGCATGAGCCACTGCACTCGGCCAAACCTCAGCCCTTTCTGAGAACAACTGGGTTCATTTCTTTTTCGAAACAGGAAAACTGAATTCTGGGTGAACAGAACTCTGAGCTCTGTAGTTACTAATTTCCTAGAGCCAAAGCAGCCCTCTCGTGACTGCACTCCCCGCAAAGAGCCTTGAGCCCCGTGCTGCTTCCTGCACACTCTCTTACCCAGAGTCACTGAACGCATTCCTTCCGGTCGTCCGTCATGGCAGTTGTGATGGTCTATGAGCTCTGTTGCTTCAAATCCAGAGGCCAAGGTTGGAGGTGGGAACCGTGTTAGGTTAGTAAATGTCAGGATTCTTCAGTCACAGGCTACACCTCAGATCCTGGCCATCTTTCTCACAAATTTCCCCAGTTGGCCACAAGGGAATGCCACCCAAAAGTGTGTCAGATCCGTTAGCAGTAGAGGTAAGACTAATTGTAGGTAGGGCAGTCTTCATGAGGGACCACCAGACGGGGAGCAGTGGTTACCCGGAAGCAGTGTGGTACATACACCCTGTCAGTGCGGACCATGGAAAAGGCCCTAGTCGGCTCTGGCAGACACTCACCTTATCTGGGCCTCGGTTTCCTCATCTTTCAAATGTGCTCATTCGATCATATTAACATTTCCCAAAGTGTGTTCCAGGGGCTGTCACAGGTATTATTGCTGGAGAAAAAGTTTATGTAGTCAGGTAATTTTTGGAGACGCTGGACTAAGGCAAGTTAAACAGGTTTCTTGGCTGAGCATGGTGGCTCACACCTGTAATCCCAGCATTTGGCAGGCCAAGGTGGATGGGTCACCTGAGGTCAGGAGTTCAAAACCAGCCTGGCCAACATGGTAAAACCCCGTCTTTACTAAAAATGCAAAAATTAGCTGGGCGTGGTGGCGAGCACCTGTAGTTCCAGCTTCTCAGGAGGCTGAGGCATGGGAATTGCTTGAGCCTGAGAGGCAGAGATTGCAGTGAGCTGAGATCATCGAGCCACTGCACTCCACCCTGGGCAACAAGAGTGAGACTCTGTCTCAAAAAAATTAAATAAATAAATAAACGGGTTTGTTTACCTCAGGACTTCTCAAAAAAACTTCTCAAAAATATGCCCATGTGCATGTTTAATCTCTGAGAATAAAGCATTGCTGTGTTTTTTTTTTTGCCAAAGGTCTAGAATTCTTCACAATTCTTTATGAATACCAGACTTGCTAGTCTGTAACTTTCTGTCTGTGAGGGAGGGAAGCCTCATATTAAATCCTTTTGGGCCCTGGCCATATGCAAGGTTGGCGTTTGTGGAGTGAGCCACCGCTTACTGGTGTAATTTGAAGGGTATCACACATACCCACAGCCTGGAAATCTCGTGTTGGAGTCATCCACTGGCTTAGGTCATTTTTGCAGAAACTACTAATAATCCACCCAAAGATACTGGAAAATGGTCCCTAATGAGTACACGTTTATGAAGATATCAAGAGGAATCCATTTCTTACATTAACTTGTTATCATCTTGCAGAAGGCCAGGGCCTGGCAAATTTTGAGAGCAGCAGTGGCCTGGCAACTAGAATGCTGACAAAGTACGGAAAACAGACGTGGGCCTGGCATCCTGGGTGGTCAGTCACCAACAGGGCGGCAGACCATGTGGGTAGGTTAGGGCACAAAAGCCAAGTGTTTGACTTTACGACATTGTTCATTGCTGGCCTTGCCCCACCAAATACCTCGGTGATCTCTTCTCTCTCTGAGCTGTGGTGATAGCTCCACTTAAGACAAGTTCTAGGAGTCGAGCACGGTACCATGCACCTGTAGCTCCAGCTACTTGGGAGGCTGGGGCAGGAGGATCCCTTGAGCCCAGGGGTTCAAGACTGCAGTGAGGCATGATTGTGCCACTGCACTCCAGCCTGGACATCAGACCAAGATCCTGACTCTAAAAAAAACAAACAAAAACAAACTAACAAGTCATCATTCTGTTGAATCAGGCATAGTTCACATGTTAATCTGTGGGAATGTGTGCCTTCTGAAAGGCTGCTTTCCGTGACTCGGCATGCTCTGGCAGCTGATGAGCCCTGCAATGACTCCTTTTAAAACGGATTTCTAGTGAGAGTTCAGTGCGCAGATACTAAGGTCATGAGGAGCATAAAATGTGCAATTTTGTGCATTTTGCCCTATAGTGCATTTCATTAACTGTAGGACTGGAACTTTTTGAATTTTATAGGCCCTATTCCTTAAACAACAAACTCCCAGAAAGAGAAAATAGAAAAGCTTGAAGGCGTCTCCAGACGTTTTCAGTCCAAAATAAAAATGACAGGAGCAGAACTTCGCCTAAAGATCAGTAAATCAAAGGATGCTTTGAGATCCAAATTGTCTGCTTATGATACATACAGACTTTTGGCCAAAAAAGATTTTATTAAGCCACTTAATAAAGATTTTTCGAAGCCTCTGCAGGCAGTGCTGCTGTTTTTTTTTCTCCATATCCCTGAGCTGCTTTTTGCCACTCTGATGCTGAGTTTTACAAGGCAGGTTGTATATTTCATACTTAAGCCTAAGTATATTTCGGATCCATCTTAAAGCTTCTGTGTACCTCAGCTGTTTCTATAGTAGACCTTCTCAGCCACTTCTCTGTGATGAGTACTACATCAACACAATGTTGCATTAGAAGTGATGATTTCAATAATCGCATCTTTTACAATTTAACTATGTGATAATTTACACTCTTGTATGAGCTAACCGGTATTGCTTTACAGGTGAATTCATTAAATTAGTAACATCCTGGCTGTTACAGTGGCTGATAGCACTGGGCACTATGGCTGCAGTGTGTCTGCAGGGGACAAGGAGCCTGGGTGAGGGGATGGGGGCCAAAACCCAGCAATTGCTCTGCTCCCCAAGCCCTGTGTGGCCGCAGAAGCCTCCTCTGTCCAGAGAAAAGTGTACCCTTTCCCAAGTCCTTCAAAAGCGTGTTATTGGCCATCAGAGATTCTATTGAAGGCTCATCATTTTCTTCCATTAGTGTTATAATGATTTTCTTAGTTTACAGATGCGTATAGTTCCTAAATATATCATTTTAATTCATATTTGAGAGTAAATAAATTGGGAATTCTTTTCCTAAGGAAAGTCAAATTCCAACTCGCTGTTAGATATTATTGAAGTGTTATTTAAGCTTTGTTTTAATATTAATGTTGACTATTTTTGCAAGTTTTAAAAATTACAAGAATGTTTATAACGTTGTATTTTCTTCCCAATAGCGTATTATTAAAAGTATCACCCCAGAAACACCAACAGAAATTCCTTGTGGGGACGTCCGCTTGAATGCTGTGTAACACACTCAATGAGAGGAAAAAGGCTTCCCCACAACCTCCTCCTCCAGTTCTGACGAGCCACGCCTGCCTTGTCCCTTCCAAGTGGATGAGTTTCCAGCTAAGCCTGATGATGGAAAGGGCCTTCTCTACAGGGACACAGTTCCAAGAGACGATGGTGCCCAGACTCAAGGCCTCCAGCCACTCATTTCCATGGACTCCCCTGGACATATTCCCACGGTAGACTGTGACGCAGCTGAGCCGGCCTGTTTTGGACGTGCGAGGATGTGAATGGAGGTGATGAAAAGCACCCTATCAGTTAGGATTAGGTTTAGAATCAAGTCTGTGAAAGTCTCCTGTATCATTTCTTGGTATGATCACTGCTATCTGATATCTGTTTGCTTCTAAAGGTTTCACTGTTCATGAATACGTAAACTGAGTAGGAGAGAACAGGGATGCTATCTCACTAGCCACATATTTTCTGAGTAGCATACAGAATTTTATTGCTGGAATCTACTAGAACCTTCTAATCCGTGTGCTGCTGTGGTGTCAGGAAAGGAAGATGTAAGAAGCTAAAATGAAAAATAATGTGTCCATGTAAGCATGTGAGTCTGTGTATATTGTTGTTTCAGTGTATTCTTATCTCTAGTCCAATACTTTGGGCCCATTACAAATATATGAATTTCCCCAAATTTTTCTTACATTAACAAATTCTACCGACTCAATTGTGTATGGAGGTTATTATTTGAAGGGTACAATCACTACTACATGCTCTGCCACCCACTCCTTTTCCAGCGACACTGCTTGGCCCACAACTTTCCTTTACGGGCCAGCCTCTGGCGTTTGCTGCACCTCATTGCCACCTTCCTGTCTCTCTGTGCTAAACATTCACAACAGTGTTCCACAGGCAGATCTGGCCTATTTCATTAGTCACTGCGGCTTGGCTGTGAAGTACATTGCAGGTGGATCTTGTCGCATGCCCCTTCAGTGTTTACCTGACCTTCTGGTTTAAGCTTTGTCTGCCTTACGCGACTGAGTGTGACTGTCCAGGTTGCTTTGCTAGGTGAAGAGAGGAGAGAAAATCAGATTCTTGCTTAGCCCTGGGGCATACAGATCTGGCACCCTAACCTAAACCAAGGCATCTTCACTCCAAGAGCAACTGGAGAGTCTGGGTTAGCCTTACATGGACCTCACCACTTACTGGCAGTCACAATTGTGAGCCCTCCAGATAATTTTTAAGATTGAGTCTAAGTAAGGCTGCTTGGGAAGTGGTCAGCTCAGTAAATCACCTTTCATTTCACATAAAGCCCTTAACATAGATAGGTAAATTTGGCCTTTGGTGGCTCGTGACTCTCAGAGGCATAGGTAGAGGAGCAAATTAATATTTGTAGCATGGGAATTCCTTATCAGAATTTTGAGGGGAATAAATCCTCATCAGAGACAAAAGGACTTCATCATCTGGCCGCCTATCACTTCAGTTCTCTGTATAAATGAAATTTAATTCTAACAACCTTATAAAAAGAAGGTCCAGACAGCAGAGGAAACGTGCTGTCCAATTCTAGGTTTTTCTCCCTGGGCCCCCTTTCCCCAGCCTTGTCTACCCTGGCCTGCTTCCTGCATTCTCTCCATGCCCTGCTATTTCTGATTCTTTGCTTCTCCTAGTGAGATACTTTCCTTATATGATAGCTGCTGAGATGTTTCCCAGAATACTAGAGGAAAAGAAGAGGGGAATTTAGAAATGTCCCTCACTGACCTAGCTCCATTATCTTCACTCTTTCATTCTTCCTGCCGCCTCATGCCCATTCTCTTTACCGTCTAGCATGCTGAAAAGAAGGAAGTGATCTAAATGCCAGCATATTCGGTAGTAAATATTAGTTGGGGCAAAAGAAAAACCGTGATTACTTTTGCACCAACCTAATAGCTTTGCACATTTTAAGAACTTGCTTTATGAAGATATTCAGCTATGGATTCTCTGCACCCCACATACTTAGACATTGTTCAAATATGCTACTTAAAAAAAAAAAACACCTTTTCAAACAGAATTAGAGTTTTGCCAAACCTGGTATTAAGGGAATTGTGCAGGAGCTTTGAAAGTTTTCAAACTTTATTAAACTAAAATAAATAAATAAATAAAAATCTCTGTCTGTTCTGCATAGTATGCATTTATTTGACCCCTATTTATCAATACTACTACGTTTTGTTTTGTTTTTTTTTAAATTTAAGAGTAGGTAGGTGGATTTTAAAATAATATTTTAAAGACCTTTTACATCTATATGTAGCATTTATAAAAAAACAAAAACTAAAAATAGAATTGAATTGTAACATTATTTAAAGACTGAAGTTAATTTTTTTTCTTGTAATTGTATCAGTAAGAAATACACAAGAGGCCGGGTGTGGTGGCTCACACCTGAAATCCCAGCACTTTAGGAGGCTGAGGTGGGAGGATCACCTGACATGAGGAGTTTGAGACCAGCTTGGCCAACACAGCGAAACCCCGTCTCTATTAAAAATAGAAAAAATTAGCTGGGTGTGGTGGTAGGCACCTATAATTCCAGCTACTTGAGAGTCTGAGGCAGGAGAGTCGCTTGAACCCAGGAGGCGGAGGTTGCAGTGAGCTGAGGTAGCACCATTGCACTCCAGCCTGGATGACAAGAGCGAAATTCCGTCTCAAAAAAAAAAAAAAATTGTTACGCTTAGTTCCATGGAAAGAATATTCTAAAGCTTTAAGTCTTCTTTTTCTATTTTCCATAGTATTGCCCTTTCCCCACTTCATTGCTTAACTATCTCTAAATTTGAATGATAGAATAATATTTTAAAGGTCAGATAATGCCATTAGAGGCAGAGACAAACCCAAACCTGGGGACCAAGCTAATTTCTCTGCTCTTGAGAGCACTAAAGACAAGTGAACTGGAGTTTTATTGCCCCTGCTAGAATGAAATAATACCTTCTCCGCCAGGCGCGGTGGCTCACACCTATAATTCCAGCACTTTGGGAGGCCAAGGCAGGCAGATCACTTGAGGTCAGGAGTTCGAGACCAGCCTGGCCAACATGGTGAAAATCCATCTCTACTAAAAATACAAAAATTAGCCGGCCATGGTGGCAGGCGCCTGTAATCCCAGCTACTTGGGAGACTGAGGTGGGATAATCACTTGAACCCAGGAGGCAGAGGTTGCAGTGAGCTGAGATTATGCCACTACACGCCAGCCTGGGTGACAGAGCAAGACTCCATCTTAAAACAAACAAACAAACAAACAAAAAACCCTCTCAATTGGTTTAATGCCACAATAGAAAAGATAAATATTTTAGGATGGAATCTTAAATATGTCTGTCTTTTTGTTTCATATAGTTGAAATCAATTCAGTATTGTTTCTATATTAGGTGTTTCAAAAACAGTCACCTTTGCAACAGAAAAGCTCTTTTGTTGAAAATGATTCACAATATAGTTCAGTTGGAATGTCAGGTGGTATTTCTCTTACCAACGCCTCACAGAATCTATGCCAAGCTGCTCTACCACCAGTGGAAGTATTTTTTTAAAGCTACCAAAATAAACTTTCTTCACCAGTCAACTCTAATTTGGAGACAGTGTGCATTGGTGAAGGACCTCATCAGAATAAGTTTGAATGTCTACTGAACTAAGAACTTTGTCATTTGGGGGAGAGAATAGATGGCATCGGTCCTTCAATTATGTAACTGAAGACTCTAATTATAGTAGATAAGAGTCGTGTCTAACAATTTTTAAATACTGACAGTCCAAACAAAAATATTTGGTGAAGGATGTCCCATCTTTTTGCTTAAATATCATAAACAAATACGAGCATTTACTAATTTTTTAAACGATATTTTGAAAGATTACTCTTATTTACACTCTAAAATTAAAGGTGTACTTTATCTTAAGAAAGTGATATATGAAGAATGCATATTTTAAAAGATAAAATTGGGGAATTTACAGTTATTTTGTGAATGGCATTTAAACTATGATTTGATTTATATACAACTTTTCAGAATACTTTTGATTGCGTGTTGGACATATCTAAAGTTAATTTTATCTGGCAGAATTAAACCTAAATTTATTTGTGTAAAAGAGTCCCCTTTCTAAAATTCATATAGTGCCCTTGTATTCATTTATGCAGTGTTTATAAATATTTCAAGTTAGATTGTGAGATATCAATAAATGATTTATGCTGTGAACTGTTACTGTAATTAATGCTTAATATCATGATTTGTTATATCATTAAAAAAACACAAAATTCTAAACTCTTAAGGTTAAAATAAAAATCTTACCATATAGTCAAAATATTTAAACATCTTCCAAAACATCACTGCATAGCAGTACGAAATCTACATTGAATTAGATGTATTCAATTTCAGTAAAGTTAAATAAGTTAATATAATTCTTTGTAATTTGTGAAGAGCTTTAGTTTATAATGTGCTTCCCCATGGGATCACCAGAGGTCTAGGTGACAGATGTATTTTCCCAGGTGACGATGGGGGCGGGATGAGGAGCCTGAGGCTCAAAGAGGTTGATTGATTTGCCCAAGTTCACACACCTGGGACGTTCCAGGACCGGCCTTATGCCTGGGTTTTCTAATTCCAGCCCAAAGGTTATTTACATGTTCAGCTTTAAAATTAGCATCCATAGAAGCTTGAGAAATCCAAAGAGTATTCAACTGCAGAATGGGTTTTGTTTCTAAACTTCAAGGATGTTCTATCTCATTTTAAAGTGTGATAGGGAAGAATAATTAACATAGTGGAAGAACCTGTTACTGATATATCATTACATGTGCGCGTAACCTACAGCAGCAGTCCCCAGCCTTTTTGGCATCAGGGACCGGTTTCATGGAAGACAATTTTTCCATGGATGGTGGGGAGCAGAGGGGCATTTCAGGATGAAACTATCCCACCTCAGTTCATCAGACATTAGATTCTCATAAGCAGCACACAACGGCCTAGATCCCTCACATGCATAATTCACGACCGGGTTCACACTCTTGTGAGAATCTACTGCTGCTGCTGATGGGACAGGAGGTGAAGTTCGGGTGGTAATGAGCTGTGTGGCCCAGTTCCTAACAGACCTCCTGCCCTACAGTTACCATCACCACACTCAATCTAATCCTTGTACTAGATTCAAATTAACTGATTTACATGGACTTGTTTAAAGAGGTATTAAGGTAGGGATTCCCAAAATAAAGGATAAGATAAGCCAAAGATGGGTGACAAAAAGAAAGAAAAACAAGAGCGAGAAAATAAAATGGGACCAGAAATGAGGCTACATGTCACACCAGAATGATTTTCACATGTGCCGTTGGTATGCCACAAATCTGATCCTAGGCTTTGTTAGAGATAACTGCTTCATCCAGATATGAGATGCCATTTCTTATCACTAAGGCTTAGTGGTCACTCTGGGTGCTGCTGCTTTTCCAGGGATATTGTTATTATTTAAAATAAATGCTAATGCTGTCAGTGCTTTATAGAGAGTTGGGGCAACTCCAGTATCAAGTGTAATATTTCAATTACAGGATTCTCTTTGGAGTCTCAGCTCCAGTTTTGGAACACATCACTAAGTAATAACTAAAGATCTCAAAATGATTACCAGTATTTTTTTTTACACACTTTTTTTTTTTTTGAGACAAAGTATCCTGTCACCCAGGCTGGAGTGCAGTGGCGTGATCTTGGCTCACTGTAGCCTTGACTCCTGGACTCAAGTGATCCTCCCACCTCAGCCTGCTGAGTAGCTGGGACTACAGGCATGCACCACCATGCCCAGCTAATTCTTTGCATTTTTAATAGAGACCGAGTTTTACTATGTTGCCCAGGCTGGTCTCAAACTCCTGGGCTCAAGCAATCTGCCCGCCACAGCCTCCCAAAGTACTGGAATTACAGGCATAAGCCAGTGCACCCAGAGACATGGTTTTTATAAACTAAAAAATTCAGTATGTAAAATGATGGAGAGGATAGTTAATGCTGAGATCTGAATAAATGGACTTGAATAAAAAGTAGAACATATCTTAAAGTATAGATTCTAACTACAAAAATGAAAATGAGGGATGTGTTTCTGACAAATGAAGACATTCTCCTACATAACCGCAATTAAACCATCATAGTTAGGAAAGTAACACTGCTACATGACTGTCAACTCATCTTCAGACCCTGTTCAATGATCTTTAGGAAAAAGGATCTAGTCCAGAATCATTTTCATTTAGTTTCATGTCTCTTTTGTTTTCTTCAGTCTGGAACCGTTTTCCAGTCTTTCCTTGACTTTCACCACCTTGAAGCCTTTGACGTTAATGGGCAAGTTATTCTGTAGAATGTCCCTCAATTTGATTTGTTTGAAGATCAATTCCTCCTAATGAAATACAGTATGTATTTTTGGCAGGATTATCACTGGAATAGTGCTGTGTTGTTTTCCCTGCCTCCTACCAGGTGGATCGTGATTTTGATTTGTCCCCTCACTGGTGATGTTAACTTCAATCATTTGGTTAAGGTGGTGTCCACCGGGCTTTCCACTGTAAAGTTCCTTTTCTTTTTGTCATTAATATTTTGGGGGATGGAGTTATTCTAACACTGTGCAAATATCCTGTCCTCATCAATCCATTTGTTTTTTAAAATAGATTCCTGTTTTATCCAATGGATTATAATCAATTTTATTCATTTATTCATTCATTCATTTTTTGGATACAGGGTCTCGTTGTGTCGCCCAGGCTGGAGTACAGTGGGGCGATCATGGCTCACTACAGCCTCGACCAGGCTCAAGTGATTCTCCTGCCTCAGCCTCCTGAGTATCTGGGATCACAGGCGCATACCACCATGTCTGGCTAACTTTTGTATTTTGTGTAGAGACAGGGTTTCACCATGTTGCCCAAGGAGGTCTCCTGTGCTCAAGCAATCCTCCTATCCCAGCCTCTCGAAGTGCTGGGACTACAGGCGTGAAACACAGCACCTGCCCCCATTATTATTTATTTTGATGCTCAATTTGTCCCAAATTTAGCCAGTGAGAAAGTCCCTTCAAGCTGGTTTCTGTGTGCTTTTGACATGTCCCCATCATTCTTGGACCAGTTCCTTGTTTTCCAGAGTGAGATGTTTCAGGACCAGCTTGTACTTTCTCTGCCACAGCTCTGAAATCAGTTATATCTCCAAGAAGCCCTGGTTCCTTTTAGTCAAAAGCAGATTCAGAAACCACGATCTAGGTGTTAGGTATTCTCATGGCTACTGAGCTGTCACTGATCCTCAGCCCTCTCACTGGACGGAAGTGTGTATAAATAATATGAATTTAATAGTTAATTCCATATCTTAAAAACCATGTGGTCACACCAATATCTCCAATT